TGCCTGTGGGCGCGCTGCCCCCAGTGGCCATTCTAGGTATCACGTCTCTCCTCTCTATGCCCCTCCCTTTTGCATTCCTTCTCTGTGCCCCCTCCTTTTTCATGTTCTAGAAAACAGTCTCATTCCTGGCACTTCCCGTTTTTCTGGCGCAGTCAAACCCAGACTTTGATTTAAATGTACGATAAGTGGAAACTGCATGTCAAATTTGGTGGTCCTAACTCTTATTGTTTTGGAGAAGCTCTTGAACAGACTCACAGACCTTTCTAAAATATAGAGACAGACTAGCACATTTATCCAGTGTTGCTCAGGTCCTTAAGCATGGTGTCAGGGCAGTAGGCTCAGGGTGCAGGGGCTGAAGAAGTCAGGGTTTGGAGATGAGGAGGGGCTCTGGGCAGGGGAGTGTGTGTGTGTGTGTGTGTGTGTGTGTTTTCCTGGTAGGAAGTAAGAAAAGTTATCTTTACTGCCTCCTGGAGCTTTTCCCAGCTTGGGGCAGTCCACAGGTGGCTTAATGGCTCATTCACTACCATATACTGGCCCTCAATATAAGGGGTGTGCCTGGAAATTAATAAATGTAGGTTCTTATGGTGATATTATCTCAAACACATTGCATATATGCCATATTTTCCATTCCTGCATGGCTTAATCTTTGCTATTACAAAATATATAGACAGTGTACTAGGGACAGCTTTATCTTCTAGTATGAACCTTAACTTTTGTATTTCTTGCTTTCTTGGCCTTTTGGATAAAATCAAATAACTTAAAAAAAAGAAGCATATGCTTAATAATGGTGGCATTTAATAGCCCCAATTAGCCTATGAATTTAACGCATCACTGAGATAGAGAGAGTAGGGGCAGAATTAATTCCACTTTCAAGTGACTAGCCTGAAGTGTGTGCAGATGGGTGATAGTACTTCTAAACTTTGCTACTGCTCTTAGTTGCCTGGAGATAGTTTTCGCAAGGTGCAAACAGCAGTAGTTCATCTATTTACATTACATATCTTGTCAATGAAACAGAAACTTAAGTTTAATGTTTGCAAAATAATTCAGGAACCATCCCCCCAAAATTTGAGACAGCTGTTAAAAATGATAGGGTACCTAAGGTTTTTGTGACACTGATTTCCTCCCTTTTCTGGATAGGAAGGAAGGTCTTGTGTTTAAGGCACTTGTGTCAGATGTTGTAGATCTGAGGGTATGTCTACACTACCCCGCTAGTTCAAACTAGGAGGGTAATGTAGGCATACCGCACTTGCAAATGAAGCCCGGGATTTGAATTTCCCGGGCTTCATTTGCATAAGCGGGGAGCCGCCATTTTTAAAACCC